TAGCTAAAAATCATATCTGAAACCCTTCTCCTACCTTCGGCTTCATCTCAGGCTCTCCTATCTCTCTCTCTCTCTCTTCTCCTACCCCAGCAACAACAAAGCTCCTGTATAGGTTCCCTCTCTCACTTTTATAGGTTCCCTCTCTCGTTGATCGCTGAGGAGTACCCAAGTTTGTGCTGTTATTTTTTGTTATTGATTTTGCGAAAATGGAACTAATTTTAGATTTTGTAGACTGAATGCAATATGAGATTTGGTTTGTGCTATTTTTTTTTTAAATGCTATTGTATAGCACTTATAGGAATCAAAAAATTGATAAAACCAAAAAATTTTATCAAGAACCTGATAGCACAAGATTCAGATTACCTTAACAAATTGCGCCATTGTTGAGCATGAAAAAAATGGGTAGATTGGGTACTTTTAACCTTGGTTTATTTGCACAAGATTGCCCGTTGATGAAGAATCCCACGGTTGTTAAGGCAACTTTTTTATCAAAGCACCCAGTAATGCGCCTTTTATGATAGTAAATTCAATTTAAATACCATAAAGGATTAGAATTACCAGTTGAATTTTTACATTTATAATTTTCATCCTAGTGATACTCAAAGAAATTGACAAACAACAATTGTATCCTATTATTTATCATTCTAGATTTTTTCTATTGTGATTTGTGGAATGTGGATGAGAAACAGAACTTCCAAGATATTCAAAATCCTTTTTATACAACATCTTAATCAACTTATGCTTGCTCAGTTAAGCATAACATTGGCTTTGAGCCTAGTGTAAATAAACTTGGGGTCAAGTTGGCATCCTGCAATTGATTGTATGTATTTTGTTCTTGTGTATAGTTGAGCTTGCACATTTGCCCTGCTTGCACTAACATTGAAGCTCTTTTTAACTTCAATCTTGGTAATTTTTATCTAGCTTAATATTCTGAGTCTGACTCCTTATACCGCTTATCATTCACAACTCTTTCCAAATGTATAAAGAATTGAACAATGTCATGGTCTGACTTTAAGTACTTCTGTAAGACTACATTCAAGCTTTCACTCATTGAGTGCTTCTCATTCCTGCAGTGAAAGTTCTCTTCATATACACATGCCCCCTTTTCTCTCGCAATGCCCAAGTGGTTTTCATCCACATATTATCATGCAAATTATACTCCGCAAGCAACGATTCCCAAGCCTCAAATAATCCATGCTCTTCCACATATCCATACACACACTCTTTAAATCGAGCCAAAAATTGTGAACCATCCTTATATATGTTTTCCAAATGTTTCAAAATATTTTGGCAAAGGTGTCAAGTACATAACCCATGATATATCTTTGGCATGACTATAAAAATAGCCTTAGCCATCGCTTGATCTTGGTCGGTGAATATGGTAATAGGATATTTTCCAGACATAGCTTGTAGGAATGTCTCAAATAACCACTGAAATGATGTTGTCGTTTCATCATATAATAATGCAGCCCCAAATAAGACTATCTCCCCGAAATGATTGAAGCCAGTAAAACAAGCAAAGGGTTGATACTCCTTGTGTTGTTCTGAAAGTAGTGTCAAATGAGATAACATCTCCAAAGTTGTCATAGTCAATAATCATCACTAGGTTGGCCCAAAAAATATTAGTAATATGCTCCTCCGCATCCAATTGCACTCCATAATAGAATGATGAATTTTTCACTGCTTCCGTTTGAAAATACTTCAACAAACTACCCGCCTCACGATACCTCAAGTCTCGTTGTCTCCTTTCACAAAGGTAATTCTTTTGGTCTTGATGAATAAAACCAAGACTTTTCTTTCCTCCAGACTGAGTACTTAAAAGATCATAGGAAGTCTTAAGTGACAATCCACAATCTACTGTCATATCAATATTAATGCCTTGTGCTGTGGTAATCTTCTGTTGGGATGACGTCATATGCATACATTCAGCAAGATGCAAATGATGGTTGTGGTTGTCGTCCCACTTTATCACAAGAAATTTACCAATTTCTCTATTAAGAGATATGCACATATGAGCTTGACAATTTGTTTTTGTCTCTGCTCGAGGCTTCCTTATTTGGCACTCTCTTTTATCACGACTCTTTTGACCTTGTTTACAACAAACATATTTTTTGTAAATGACAACACTATCTTTCAAAATTTTATTCTGAAAATTTTTCTTCACGCTAAATCCCACAGACCCTCCATAACTATTGTAAAAAACATAAGCATCTTCCTCCGCATCAAATTGTATACTAATATGAGGTATATTATCAATCGCATTAACTCCCAAATCATCCATCATAGTATCCTGCAATAAGAAATTTAATTGAAATGACATTAGATGGAACTTGCAGTCATAGATAAAACTAGATGTCATGTACATAAGGTTACATAATTCTTAAGAAAATTAATCATTATTCCAATAACAAGCTAACAAGAACAAAAAAAAAACATGTACAAAGAAATTGACATGAAGTTATATGGCTATGGAACACCTATAAGAGGGAAAAAGATCTCTTCATAGCATACAACAACTGTCATCTTTTTGCAAAACCAAGTCAAATAGAGAAACCATGGCAACAAAATGAGGCATTATAAAACTGTAGAAAGGCTAAGGTGGTGCCAAAACTCTATGGGCAGAGCTAATATTGGTACTTTTTTTCTAAATTTGGCAAAAGATTGATAACACAACCAAATTAAACCAAACCAAGTCTCATGTCTCAATCATTTGGGTCAACTACTGGAGTCCACCTTCGCCATTCACTTCAGTCATGATATATGCTCATTGGCAAAAGATTAATACACATAATTTTTGTAAAAAAAACCATGCCCAAGAGAACAGTTCTTTCCAAATAGAATAAGTAGTGGCAGGAACTCTTTTTTCTTTTCACTTTTGTACCAGAAATTCTAAAGACTGCATATTTCTCCATTATTCATTGCAATAGCACAAAAGATATTTACAAAGGAGGAATCCCTTACAATCACACAGAACCCAGAAAACCTATTGTTTTTTACCAGAACAATAATGAAGAAATCCCAACTTGGAAAACCCTATAACTCAAACCCAAAACAATCATTTACTCCTTCCAAATTAAACACCCAAAAAGAAACTCTAAAGTTTCAATTCTTACTTATAAACTTCAAACAAGTTTAATCAAAACAAACTTGCAATCATTTGAGTAGTTACACACATTAAAAATCACATCTTTACATGTAAATCCAGAAAGAAAGACTACAACTATTTGAAGTTACACTTATAAAATGAAAATGATTATATAGCAAAACTGACTGAGAAAGAGCAACATTCAAACAACATACCCACTAAAGCTTTGTGTCTCAGTAAAGGGAAAAACAGTTAGAAGAACCTATTCAAGCTTGAATGTAGCCAGACCCAACGAAGAAGGTGGGAGAACCAGACCCGACGAAGAAGAAGATAGAGAAGTTTGAGCCGTGAAGAAGGCGAGAGAATAGACCCGATGAAGAAGAAGCGGGAGAAAGAAAAGGGAGGAGTTTGATTTAAAGGACCAAAACGACGTCGTTTTTGGTAAGGGTCAGTACAAAAAAAAAAATCAAAAACTACAGTGAAAACGCAGCCGTTTCATTAAACTGCATGTTATGCGGTAACTCTCCAATCGTAGACGAGCCAATCCTCGGGAGTCTGTACATCTCGAATATCTTATCGCATCTTCTGCTTTTTGCGTCACCTCCCAATTTGGTTCCAAGGATGCTAAGGTTATCTTTCAACTAATCGGCACCAAGTTTTCTTACAACGTAATGCTACATCAACTTAAAAATTAAATTTAAAAAATAGAGTTAATAATTATAATCATTGATTTTATATGGGTCCTAACATTTATTAGAACTCACTACCTATTTAATAGTTGTAATTTAACCATTGATTTTAATGTGGATATCAACATTTATTGGGACCTACTACTTATTCAATAGTTGTGATTTAACTATTGATTTCATTGTGAATCCTAACATTTATTGAAACTCACTACTTATTTAATAATTGTGATTATCAAGTTTAATTTTTAAGTTCATGTAGTATTAATCTTACGCAAGTCCTACCTAATATGCAACCGATCAAATGATATTTTGTACTCAAATAAATCTTTAAATTTAATTAAATAAATAAGCAATAATGTAGTCCCTTTTAAATAAAATCTCATACAAATTTTTATGCAATGTATTTAAAATTATATAATATACAAATAAATGTGTACAAAAATAAGAAAATATAAAGAAAACAACAAAAATAATTATCGGACAAAGCAACGTACCTTTGGTTTTGGACCATAATTCTATTTTTTAATCTAATTAAGGTTACAATATAAATTGTTTTTAATCTTTTAATATGTAAAGTTAGAATTTAAAGATCATTTAAGGTACAAAGTGACATTCATCCTACAAAACTTGTATGCAACCTACAAATATCAAGTTTAAAGCTAGCCCATGCCCCAACAAAATATACTTAAACCATTATTATGTGTACTTCCAAAATTGTCACTAATTTTCCCATGGATGTATTAGATACATTATACCTTTTTCGGTCTTTTTGCTAAGATCAAGTGTTTCACTGTAAATGGTGAAAGTCCAGTAGTTGAAAGTAACACTAACTTACACCCTATGCGCTGCTTCAAGTAGCACGTAGAATCTCGTGTGAATCAGCAAAGGCCACCTTTTAGGCTTACTAATAATTCTCACTACACCAGACCCGAGCCTACGTTTAACTGATAAACTGGCATAGACTCTCACTATTGAGCTTATGAAATTTTGCAACACAAACACAAAGTCTATATAGACTTTGTAAAATTTATGCACATATTGTTGCCAGAACTGTCATCAAGATACATGACTGACAACAAGTACGAAGAGCGCTACAAGAAGTAGTCGATGAAGCACTATAGCCACTGATGCAAGCTTCTAGCCTTTAAACAAGCCTCCATTGTAGTGACGCATACCTACAAGAAACTCAACATCAATTTCATAACAGTATGAAAGTATATTTATTACGACTGTACAAGGCTATACACAGAAGGAACGAACAAGTAAAGACGCACTGAAAGACCCCAGACAAACAAAAATGAGCACACTCTGCAGTTTCAATTCATGCTAATGCTTGTCAGTATGACGCAGAATTCATTTCAAGGTCGTGGACTTTCTGAAAGAAGAGTAATGTCCTGGAAAACAGGTAGCCTGCTTCTTCTGTTTAATTTTGTATCATTCCCAGAATTATAACCTTCAAAGCTCAGGGCCTTCTTCGGCAATGGTGACAAATGGTAATTTTCTGCTGTTTCAGGCTTCTGATGGTGATCAAAACTTAATGAACGCTGAACTGTTCGATTCATTGATGAATCAGCCTTCTGAGGTTGAGTGTAATATCCGTCCACCAAATCAAGTGATTCAATCTTTTGGCTGAAATTGTCGACCTGATTCAGCAGAGTAGGACTTTCATGAATTATATTTGTATTTATGTTCTCGTCATTAAACTCTTCCCCCTTGTTCAAGCCTTCAGACCAGTTTCTTGGAGTTCTGCCATCGAACAACTCCTGTTCATCTTCTTCAACCATATCTGCCCAACTCTTCTTACTTTGGCACATTGAGCAGTCTTGAACCAGGTTCAGATCTCCAAAAATAGGATGGCTTTGGCTTTGTAGTTCATGAGTCGACTTCAGACTTTCTGCTAAGGGTTCAACCATTTCTGACAATCTCTTTCTGTCTACAGAACTATGATCACCTCTCTCAGAAGAAAATCCCATAGGCAAATTATTTTCTTTGGTGTCCTTATTTGTCTGCCCACCATCATCCTGGAAATTCCTTTTCCACACTCCATTCCCAAAAGGCTGTAAAATCGATCTATTGCTCATTTCAGCGTGATCTCCACTTGACCTCTGTCTCCAGTCCCCACTGCTTTCCACTTCAGTGTGATTTCCGCACGACGTATTTCTCCAGTCTCCACCTATAAATGGTAAATGAATTTCTGATTTTCCAAGTGTTCCCTGCACATTTTTGTTAATCATAGGTTGTTCAAATGATAATTTGCGATTGCAGCCAGCTGCTGTATCCTGTCTCCCAAATGCCCTTCCCTGATCCTCGTTTGAGAATGACCATGAACCACTTCTCGGTTGCGTAAATGGAAACTTTGGAGTTTCTGTTCTATGAATTGGAGTACAATAAGTCTTCTTGCAAACAGAACCCACATCTGTTCCGGTAAAACTAACCCATTTGCCGTGTCTTTTGCTGCCATAATCGTACCTTCTTTCACATGGTATTTCCATGTAAGGTCCTTTCTTAACTGTATCCATGAACAAATACTGATCGGAAGAGTGTGAAAAATTTCTTAGTCCCAATGATGTGCAGTTTGCGTTTCTCTTGTCATAACCACCTAATTTAGCCTTATTCTCATGATGAGGTCCAAACAAAACTCCTCTGTTCTGTTCATCTGACAGCACTGTTGCTTCATTGTGTTCATCTGCTAAACTTCTGGAGCCAAAGCCAAAAACCTGATTATGACCTCGATCAGTGGGAGTAGAAAATTCTTTCTGGTTTCTATAATCAGAGGATGAGGAAGGTATTGGGATTTCATGACAGTTTTTTTCTTCATGTGAAATGGGCTTTACATCTGACGGCGATTCTAATCCGTTCAGCATCTGAACAGCACGCTCAAATGATTTAGCATATGTTTCGTCCATCTGCTCACATTCAGATGAAGCTTTTATGGTTTGAAGCAGAAACTTAGCTTCTGATGTTCTCTTCATGTGCATCAAGCAGATTGCAAGGTTGCACTGCTTGTTCTTATCTAGCTCAAACGATAACGCTTTTCTGCATCAAAAAAACATTTTTTTTTTTTTGTTTGTTTGAGAAAAATGACCTCCTACTAAAGAGTAAACACCGCAATGGCACATACTGTGTATAATTATATATCAGTGCATGATGATAAACATACCTATAATGCTCCTCGGCCAACTTGTAGTTATTTTGCTGCATGTAGGCCCACGCCAAGTTTCCCAATAACCTACAGTAAACAAGGCCAAAGTAAAACAAGTGCAAACAATCAAAAAACCAGTAAATCAATATAACAATTATCTCCAGTATCCACCTTGAATACTCTTTTTCAATTGTGATTTGAATCTTCTTCCCCTGAGATCTAGCTATCTTTGTCCTTTTTCCACCAAAGGCTAAACCTTCTTCAATGTCCTTCAGTTTGACTTGAAGCATTTCAATCTGTTCGTCAATTCTCCCGGATCTCTGCAATGACCAACAAACTTCCATTCAACTGAACAGTTCAATAATGCAAACGTAATTAGAACTTTCTACGGTTCTCCCCTAAAAGATTACCATACCTATTCACATATCTGGCCAGAAATTACCTCTAGAAAAAACTCAAGTTTTAGCTTAAATTGCTTCAATCATTGTAGAGCATAAGTTTCAGTAAATTCAACAAAGTTTTTAAATTTTTTGAATTGCTCCGCACATAAGTTTTTTTCCTGAATGAATGTTTCACAGAATTCAATCCTTCACCATGAGGTATTTGCTAGAAAGCAATGATGTCATCCATATTTCTTGTTATGCATTGCATTACTCCAAGGTTTGTTGAGGTCTCAAAACAACACCTTGACCTTTCATCCAACTTAATCCTTTGTTGTTGGCTAATTTTACATGAGAAATGAAAATAATATATATGCTTAGCAGTCTTTGTTAGAATAACTAAGGATGAAATAAAACATAAAGCGATGAGAACTCACATTTAACTCGTTAAATCTCCAATTCAATATATATGAGCAACTAAGGTTTGGTAAGGAGAAAAGGGACTAAATTTCTAAAAGGTGTAGTGATCTTCTAGAAGAAAACCCGCCATACTCGAAACAATACAACTTGATTGCATCTTTTTAGATAGGAATCAGAGTGGCCTTTACAAATGCATAATGCTAAGGGAAATCAACGCTGCAAAAAGAACAAAATGAACTGTGCTTGTTTATAATTGAAATGTGCATTACCTTGTAGAGCTCCACTAACAAATTGTCAATAGATTCTTGTGATTCAGGAAGGCATAGATGACGAAAAGACCTAATCGCCTCAATTGCCTCATCTGGTCGATTCAATTGCTTCATTACTACTGCCATGTCTTTCAACGCACTATCAACTCGATCACCAGAGTTTATTGCCTTCCAGAACAGGTAAATGGCCCTGTTTGGATCCTTATCTATCAACTGTTATTGGACACTAAAATACAATCAAAACCAGCACAACAGATATGACACACAGTACGTTCAATGCCCAAAAAAAAAAAAAACAAACAGAACTGGATAATGATTTAATCAATCAATTTCACCAAAGCCATCAAGATGTTATATAGAAATTTTCCCGCACTACAATTATGCAATTACTTAACGATAAATCTTGCTTTTTAAAAAGTTTAAACGGTGAATCAGTGCCGTCTAGAAATTTTCGACTCTTCTTGCCAACATTTGTAAGCCAAATCAGTCAAAATTTCAAAGGAAAATAGTTAAATTCAAAGCCAACGGAGTAAGACCATGTGGGTCAGTAACAATAAGACACGAAGACAATCAAGCATTTGATCCCAAATATATAAAGAACATCAACACAGAGATAGAGAGAGAGTGATGATTCTTGGAAACAAAGAAACACGATATCGACATGAAAATGAATATAATTAATACTCGCCTAAACCCAACAAGTATCCGATGATATAAAGCAATATGAAAATTGAAAAATCTGAAAACAGAAAACCAAAGAAAGCAGAAATTCCTGCAAAAGCAAACACCAATTTCGCAAGATAAAAAAATTCAATTCAAGCCCATGAAAAGAAGACGAGGACCCAACAGTTCACTCTACTTATAGTCATTTAAAATAATTTACCTGAACATGTTTGGCTTTGACGTATGGAGAGTCACCGGCGGGGACTTTATGAATCACATGGAAACTATCAGCTTTGGCCTGAGGCGAAATTCTCTTCTTTTCAGACGAAGGAATCCATGGCGACGATCGTCTTGACTTCCATGTCGGCGGCGGCGTCGAGAAGCCCCTTGCCATGTAATTCTTGTCACTAGTGGCCATTAGCCTTTATGAAAGAATTCGATCCGTGTCTTTATTGCCCAAGAAAATATGCTTCTATGGTTGGAAAACCACTTTTCTTGCCTCAAAATTCTTCAGAGAGAGAGAGAGACGATGATCAGTAGTGCAATGAAAAAGAGAGTGAGAGAGAGAAAGCAAGAAGGAAAGGGAGAAATAGCCGTTATATAAGTATCCGTTGTGATTCGAGACGAGTGAATCGCACCTAAACTTCGCTACAAAAACCACCTAACATTTAAAATATCACTCACAAACTTACATATTTATTAAAATATTATACACAAACCCTTGATTTATAAAATATTATACCCTTAGACTTTTTTTTTTGACATTAGATATATATTTTTTAAATAAATTTTAAACATATTTAATTATATACACCTTATTATTGCATTATTAAGATATCGACTATGATAGATCCTATCTAAATAATTATTAATTTTTGAGTAATGTTATTCTGGCGTACTGTATTGTGATATTAACCCCAATAGTGAGTCCAGATATTTAATAACATTCATTATCCATCAAATGACCACAATTTATTGGGTCACTATTAATTAAATCCCGAATTTGTTGTAACTACTATTATTCTTAAATTTTGGACACATTTTAGAGATGTCCAAATTAGTTTTAGACATATTGAAGTAATTTTTTTAAATTATAGAATTATTTTGTAATTATATAAAAATAAATGTCATTACGTAATAAATTACAAGATAATAAAGAAAAGATTATTATTATCACCATTTTGTATATAAAATATATAAAAAAATTATTTATCTATATCATTGATTTGTAATGTTTTTAAATGATAAACACTAATTAGATTCAATTGTAAATAACAATAATTAGTCTCATACAAAGTTCTAATTAATTTATTTTTATTTTTTGTTTCTTCATGCAATGTAAATCCATTTCAAACTTTTATATTTAATGAACTTTTATGTATAATTATAGTAAATATGAATTTATGAATTTCGGTGGTCAATTGAAAAAAAAATGAAAAATATTACTTAAACCTAATTTTGGGAACTAATTCAGTGCAAACTTTAAATTGAAAGTGAGTTTCATCTGATATTGGAATAACTAATCTAATGATTGTATTGAATTAGGTCTCTGATTAAGTCCCTATACCATTGCTCAAAAAATTTTAAAACTTATTAATATGCTCAACCTAAAGTATTTTTCTGATTTTGCACCTTAGCACCCTTGTTAGGATTCATAAAAGACTAATGTCTCTTTTGTTAAAATTTATTAACGAAATTGAGTAATGTGATTTAATTTATATTATACTTTAACATTATAAGAAATTTAGTATCTACAAATGCGACAATGATATTGAATTAATTCAACAAAATTGGTCAATTTATCTGATATAATATTGATAAAAATCCATTTTAAAATACAAATAATAATAATAATAATAATAATAATAATTAACTATTATTCTTTTTTCTGTTGGAGAAGTAAATATAAACCCAAAATTTTGAGACAAATTTACCCTTAAAATATAAAGAGACAATTCTATCACTACCACAGCTAAAATACAACATTTAATCTCACAAAAATTAACATTTAAAAAACTAATTAGTCATCTAAATCTAATCGATTCATCAATTAAGCTAAATTTATCTCGAATTGAAATCAATTAATTAAGTACGTTAATTAACCCACTTTTAGCGCTAATTCAAATCCAATCTGAAAATTTATCACTAAATCCTTTGATTATTTTAAATTTGTCTTGTTAAAATCAAGGCTCCTTCCTTTACAACTCTCTCATATTCTAACTCCAAATCAAACATAATTCCATATACGCCCCCAAGACTTCAACATGCTCATCTCATAATGGATAGTTAATACTGTTGCATAGATTGACCAAAAGTTGATTTTACAATCAGTTATTATAACCCCATATTCAAGTTTCCAATTGTGTTCACGTCCGTCATAATGCCACTTGAATTTCGGCACATTTTGTTTGAGATAGTAAGGGTTTAAAAAGAGAAACACCAAATTTTATAAATTTAGATGGTGGGAAGATTTGGAAGGAAGCTCTAAATATTTCAAATCAATAGACTTTAATTAAATTTTAAATAAAATAATCTTTAAAGTCAAAATATGGGCACTTGGACACTTGGGACATCTTGGGCTTGAAACCTCTAAATA